CTAAACATGGAAGAGCAAAGTAAAAATTGCCATCAGTGCACAAAATTTCTTCTACCTACTTTAATTTGTCTACTTTAACAACAAATACTAAAACTAGCAACTTCAATACTAAAATAATAAAATAACAAAAAAATATTATTTATTCTCTACTATTTCTTAACAAATTGTTCGATTTTAGTACGACTTTTTAGTCTTGTAATTTTCCAATATGATTTATTACTAATTTGTTTAATTTTAGTTTGACTTTTTGTGTCTCTATGTATATTTGCAAACCCTAGTATAGATTTTATATTTAGACGTCCGTCTGTCTATATGTCTGTTTAAGACGTGTGTAAAAGGCCATTAGATACATTAAGTTTGTAATTAACTAGAATCCAACTCGAATCTTATTAACGCTAGCTAAATCAAAGACTGCGAACAAATTCAACACTATTCAGACTTACTAACTTAGTAAACAAGGTATATATATATATATATATATATATATATATATATATATATATATTATATATATATATACGATATATATGTTTCGTATATTGTTTGCTTTACCTAATTAATTGTTTGGACTGCTATTAGATTTATATTGGGGAAAATAGCCAAAATTTAAAAAAAATCGACTTCAACAACGTAACAATTCTAAAAATGCCAAACAATTCAAAACTATGTTTACGGAACACATTCACACAATAAAACATAACAAGATTGTTCGAACCTGGGCTTTATTACATTCTTTAATTTATTCAAAAGGCGTTTTGCTGAAGGTTGTTTTATTTGTATAGTAATAATAGTACTAGTTTCGTATTAAAGTATTAGTAGTACTAGTTTTGTATTAATTGTACACTTGAGGGATGTCATCTTTTAGCTAAATTATAATAATTTTATAAAAACATTGAATAGTATACAGCAACTAATAGATAAATTATACACACTTGGCAAAAAACTTCCAATTATATAAGATTTAAAAAATGTGATGTAAGAGTATTTTCTGTTTTTGAATAATAAATTATCAAGTCGATCATGGTATAGTAGAATTTAGTAGCTATAAAATAAGGATATAATTTACCAGAGTGTCAAAACATAAAAAATAATAATGAAAAAAAGGTTATAAAAATATGAAATTAAAAATAATGTAGACAATAAACCCTTAAATATCAAGTATTACATCAAATTTGTGATTGTTAATTAAATTTTCATAACTATCGAATAATAATGGTGATGAACGACGTTTGATAACGCACGAAGAATTTGAAAAAAAGAACCGTGATTCATCATATTTCCTAATATCTGTTTTTTCATAAAGAATTATTATAATAAATTTAGTTACGTGTTCAGAGAACATGGTTTTGAATTGTTTAGGAAATTTTAGATTACAAATATGTTGGCCTAATCTCTTATAAATATATTGGAAGCTTTTTCCACCGTAACGTATCGATTTTAGTATTTGCTGTCGTAGTAAACATATTAAAGTACATTGTATCCAAACAAAATTTCTATCCAACAAAGTGGCTTTAGTGTACTTTTTTCATATGAAAGTAAAAATCTGTAATATTTGTTAGGAAACGTATCGATTTTAGTATTTGTTGTCATAGTAGACATATTAAAGTACATCATATCCAAATTATAACATCCTAAAACAAACAAAAATATTTTTAAAAAATTACAACTTTTCCACTTTAGTTTATGAGTATTTTTATCCAACAAAATCGTTCTCGTTCTCTAACAAATATCTCGAATATTTGTTAGAAAACGTATCGATTTTAGTATTTGTAGTCATAGTAGACAAATTTAAGTACAACATGTCTAAATTATAATATTCTAAAATTAACAAAAGTATTTTTAAAAAATTGAACATGATTTATCAAATTTCCTAATATCTGTTTTTTATAACGAATTCTTATAATGAATTTATTTATGTATAAAGATAACATGGTTTTGAATTGTTTGGGAAATTTTGGATTATAAATATGTTGGCCTATTATCTTGTAAATATATAGGAAGCTTTTTCCACCGTAACGTATTGATTTTAGTATTTTCTGTCATAGTAGATAAATTTAAGTACAACATATCTAAATTATAACATTCTAAAATTAACAAAAATATTTTTTTAAAATTACAACTTTTCCACTTTAGTTTAACCAACAATGTGGCTTTTATGTACTTCTTTCTCAATATTATAAATACCTTGAATATTTGTTAGAAAACGTATCGATTTTAGTATTTGTAGTCATAGTCGACATATTAAAGTACACCGTATCCAAATTATAACATTTACAACAGAAAAAACATGATTCATCAAATTTCCTAATATCTTTTTTTTCATAAAGAATTATTATAATAAATTTAATTACGTGTTCAGAGAACATGGTTTTGAATTATTTGGGAAATTTTGGATTATAAATATGTTGGCCTATTCTCTTATAAATATATTGGAAGCTTTTTCCACCGTAACGTATCGATTTTAGTATTTGCTTTCATAGTAAACATATTGAAGTACATCGTATCTAAATTATAATATTCTAAAATTAACAAAAATGTTTTTAAAAAGTTACAACTTTTCCACTTTAGTTTAAGCATTTTTATCTAACAAAGTGGCTTTTATGTACTTTTTTCTTAATATTATAAATATCTCGAATATTTCTTAGAAAACGTATCGATTTTAGAATTTGCTGTCATAGTAGATATATTAAAGTACACCATATTCAAATTATAACATTTTACCACAGAAAAAAATGGTTTTTGAAAAATTTAACATGATTTATCAAATTTCATAATATGTGTTTCTTTATAAAGAATTATAATGAATTTATTTACGTATTCAGAAAACATGGTTTTGAATTGTTTGGGAAATTTTGGATTATAAATATGTTGGCAAATTCTCATATAAATATATTGGATGCTTTCATTACTTTGAAAATGGAGCCTGTAATTTTTTCATTGAATGTTTGAGGATTAGCCACATCTATATTAAAAAAAGAAAAATGTGAACAACCAAGACATACTTAAAAAAAATAGACGTGCAAGGTGAGGAAAAATATTGTACAAGGAGATTATATTTATGTATATATATACATGTATATATCTACATACACATATGTATACATGTATATATGTATGTATATATAAGTAAATATAATGTATAATTTATAATGCGTATAATGTTCATGAAATATGATCTTTTGTGGTAAATTTTATTCATTAGACTTTCGTTACTATATAACACGTCGAGTGTGACGGTTTTTGCGGTCATGTTTATATATACATAAAACTTTATATATAAATATACATATATACATATATATGTATATATATATATGTACAGGGTTGGCGTATGTATAAATGTAAACTTAACTGTTGGTTTGCTTTACAAAGTATTTAAACTTTTATATATACTTTGGGGATAAATTTTTATTTTTGTACTTTAAGAAAATTTTATTTTATACAAAAGTTTGAAATGGAATGCTGAAATTTGGTTATGTCGTACTTTAATATGTACATTATGACATCAAATACTAAAATCGATAATTTTTCTTACATAAATATGAGATGTTCACAATTTTCTTACAACATCACATTTTTCATTAGTTGTATAAGTCTAACTAAATATTTCTCTCAGTGTGCAAGACTTGTCCAGCAATTCTCTAATTTAGATATGGTATACTTAAATATGTCTTTTATCCATGCAAATACTAAAACCAATAACTAATCAATAGTTTTTGATATTTTTCAAAATTTTCTATTACCAAGCCCTGGTGGTCTGAATAATTTTGAGTGATGCAACTCTCGTATAATAAATCAGACGACTAAAAACCTCAATATTGCTAAATGCTAATTTATTAACATCGAAGAAGAGATAAGTAATAAATTAATAATTTACTTTACTCTACTTTGAAAAATGTGCAAAGACCATCGATGTGTATGGTTAACGCATAAAACGATGCAAAATACCATTATTTTATTATGCAGCTTAAGAGGGAATAAAAATAGATAGGTGGTACAAAAATCGAGGGAATTGGACGAGGAAGTAGAAGGTTTCGAGCGTGATGCTATAGTAGTATAGTATATGATTGTGTATAAATGGTTTTGAGTGTGTAGAGTGTACATAAATGTGTAAATGTATGTTTCAACGAGAAAATGTGTATAAGTTTGTACAAATGTGTGTTTATCTGTGTTTAAGTGCAGAATTAAATTTGGAATGAAAATGGCGGTCGACGCTAAAGTAACGGATGCTTTAGTAAAATTAATGGCTTTGCTGCATTTGTACTAACAATGATACAAATGTATACATACATACATACATATATACATACATACATAAATACATACATACATACATACATACATAACCCACTAAAGAAGAGTCAAATTGGGACACAAAACTTATGGAACAGTATTAAAAAAACACTAATTCAACCTGCATAAGTTTGTTTTCTAATTGTTATTCGATGTTGTTTTACTTTTCAAAAGTTCAACGATTTCTGTATGTCTTTTTTTGGTGGCAAGGTCCATTGGCGTCTCATTGGCGTAATTCACTATGCTAGGATTTGCACCTTTGTCAATCAATAGTTGGACGATACTTTTGTGACCAGAATTGGCTGCTGCAAAATTAATGGCTTTGCTGCATTTGTACTAACAATGATACAAATGTATACATACATACATACATAACCCACTAAAGAAGAGTCAAATTGGGACACAAAACGTATGGAACAGTATTAAAAAAAAACACTAATTCAACCTGCATAAATTTATTGTTTCTAATTGTTATTCGATGTTGTTTTACTTTTCAAAAGTTCAACGATTTCTTTATGTCCTTTTTTGGCGGCAAAGTACATTGGCGTCTTATTGTCCTCATTTACTATGCTAGGATTTGCACCATTGTCAATCAATAGTTGGACGATGTTTTTGTGACCAAAATTGGCTGCCGAGTACATTGGAGTACAACAAAATTTACCATCAACATTGACATTGGCGCCTTTACTAACTAAATACTGTACTACCTATAAGTGACCATTTTGAGCTGCTAAGTGCAAGGGTTTCCAACTTTGTCTGTGAATATCATGTATCCATGTGCCATTATTAAGCAAAAACTTGACAACATTCAAGTGTCCATTATTGGCTGCAAAGTGCAATGGCGTCCATTTTGTTGTAGTATAAGCATTTACATTGGCTTTCTTAGTCTTCAGAAACTGAACAACATCCAAGTGACCATTTTGAGCTGCTAAGTGCAATGGAGTACTTCTTGTCCTAGTAAGACTAGTAAGATCGACATCGGCACCTTTTGTAACTAAAATCTGGACAAAATTCAAGTAACCCTTATGGGCTGCCAAGTGCAATGGAGTCCAATTATTGTCAGTAACAACATCGATATTGGCGCCGTTACTAATTAGAAACTGTGCAATGTTGAAGTGACCATTTGCTACTGCAATGTGCAATGGTGTATACAAATTTTTAGTGACAGCATGGATATCGGCGCCTTTAGTTGCCAGATACTGGACAACCTTCAAGTGACCATTCTGAGATGCCATTTGTAATGGAGTACAATTGCTTGCAACTGCATTTACATTAGCGCCTTTGCAAATAAGAAGCTGCACCACCTCTAAGTGACCATTTTCAGATGCAATGTGCAAGGGAGTTTTGGTGATAGAATTGACACCGGCACCTTTTGTAATCAAAGTCTGGACAACATTCAAGTAACCATTATTGACTGCTATGTGCAATGGTGTCCAATTGTCTTTATCAATAGCATTGACATTGGCGCCTTTACTAATTAGAAACTGGACTACATCCAAGTGATTATACAAAGTTGCAATGTGCAAAGGCGTTTGTCCTTTATCAGCCTTAGCTTCAATATTTGCACCTTTGTCAGTCAATAGTTGAACCACATCTTTAAATCCATTTGCAGCCGCGCAATAGAGTGGCGTCAACTTGTTCTTATTTTCGGCATTTACCTCTGCTCCCAGACCTATCAAAGATTGAACCCTTGCTACATGTCCATTGTATGCTGCGATGTGCAAAAAAGACCAATTATGGTTGACAATGCAATTTATTTTATCATTCCTGTCTGACAAAGGCCTAAATACTGTCTTGTTTTTATTTTTAGCTGCGTTATATGTTTTATTGTCTTCAGCTCTTATTATTTTTTGAACATCACTTTGATCTAGAAAAAAAACTACTGTTATTTTATGTTTGTTCAAACATTTGTTCTCATTCTTGTTCTTTTTATTAAAAAAAATAGCAAAAAAAATTTTTACATGTTACTTTTTGAGAAGGTCCCAGTTGGTTCAATTTATCCATCTTCTGTTCAATCTGGTGGTTGCCCAGGTGGGCCTCCCTTTGATTTGCCATTCTCCTGACGATATCCAGAAATGTTTTACCTTCCTTGTTGACGACATCACTGATCGCTCCGTTTTTCAGGAGCAAATGTATCAGTCGATCGGAGTTCTTCTTGGCGCTAATGTGCAGGGCAGTGTCACCATCGTCATTCTGCGCGTTTATATTTGTTTGCCACCTTTCCAATAACAATTCTCGGACAATATCAAAACTGTCTTCTTCTACGGCACAATGCAGGAGTGTGTTATTTTTATTGGTTTTATCTGTAATGGTCTTAGGATGGACACGACAGTAGGCGAGCAGACGTTCAAATTTCGGTAAATGGTTGTCCTTGATGGCCTGGAAGATTTGCTCATTTAGTGCTTCCTGGGTTGGCAGAGTACTTGTCATTGTGAAAAACTTGCATTTACTTGGATGTACTAACTGATAATTGTGAATGAAAAATTTTTGCACTGTTTACCAACTAGTGTTTTCCATTTGACATTGAACAATGTGACAAGTGCAATACATTTACATATATCAATTGCATTTATCTTTATCTTATCAATTGCAAGTTATGGATTGATGAAAGTAAGGAAGTCAGTGCTTGCCAAGGTATGCAGTGGTAGCCAAAGCCTGTTCTTGTCAATTGCGACTAAATATCTTTAACCAAAGGAACCTAGTAAAGTTTATTTTGTATGTTTTATATATATATATATATATATATATATATATATACATGCAAAATATTTAGAGTGCATCTCGTTAAGTGTCCAGACGATCCGTGACAATAATGACTCAATGTCACTTTGTCACTTGTCACATTAGATACATATATACATGTATGTGCATATATATTTATATATATATATATATATATATATATATACATATGTAAAATCAAGTGTATATATTTAAGTCTCTTTAATTAAAACGAGAAACGGTCGCTATCACTTTTAAAAATCTTTTTTACAAAAAGGATTTTTCAATTAGCACTCATTTTTAGTTCTCAGAAAAAAATTATATATATTTATATATCATATATATTTATATATCATATATGTATATAAATATATATATATATACACATGTATATATATACAAATCTTTAGTTCAAAAAACGATTTTTTGTTTTTGCTCAAATATTTCTATACTTTCTTTATTAAATAACAAAGTGCTGATGAATATGTTTAAATATTATCGAAGCGTATATGTTATACATACCATCATATAATCATTAATATACCATTATGCGTTCCATGACGTAACGGATAAGCGCACTGCCTTGTGTGGATGTTCGAACCCCCGCTCTGGATAACCTGATATCATGCAGAAATGATATCAATTTTTGCTTGAAAGTGTAGATCAAAAATATGTTTCCAATTGAAAATGAGTCCATTTTTGGCACTATGATGTGAAACGGCAATGAGAAATCTCTCTCCACAGCAATTACATAGCATTTTGACAGTTTTCACTACCAATTTATATGAAAAAAGGGCCGTAACATGGCGTTGCCATAACAACGCTATGTTATGGTCTATTTTATCGGAGAATTAGTTCCTAAAATTTACTTCACTGATCTACTTCGTAAATAAGTGAACTCAAACTTTAAAAATCTAGCAACAAAATACATATTAGTTCTACAACTCGGGAGTCAAAAGGGTTAAATTTATAAATATTTCCAACTATCCAATAGTCTACACCTAAAAATCAACACTTTCCACATCAGTTAAAAATATAATTTATTTAAAATATTTCTATTTAAATAATGACGTCGACGTGTGTGTTGTTGTTGGTAATTCCTCGTCGTGTGCCCTGTAATCGTATATGTCCCTATATGAGGCCGAAAGTCTGTAATTTAAAATTTGCCGCCGTTGCCGAGAAACAAAAAGGCCGATTATGTAACGTATGTCATTGTTAAGAAAAACACCACATCTCCAAAGATATATTATATATGTATATACAAAGAGGATAAATTGTGGAGTTGTCCTCCACGATTATGTCTTTGTTAAAATAATCATCGGGTTGTTATTTGAATATTTAAAATTCGCCGAAGAACAGAGAGGGACTTCGGGGAGGGGGGTGATAATGAAATAACTAGTGGTGCATGGCATAGTGCTTTAATGCAAATTGCTGGAACTTCCCTTACTGAAAACTAAATTTTTGAAGAAAAACTTTGAAAAAAATTGATTTTTGAAAATTTTGAAATTTTTGGAAAAATTGGATTTCTTTATATTTTGATTGTTTTTGAAAAATGTTGAACTTTTTTGGCCTTCCAAAGGTCTACTAAATTACCAAAATTTGCAAATCGTACTAATTCTTACTCTTTTGCCTTTTGCTTGTTTTGGTTTATCTTAATGACTATCGTGCGGTTTTTGTGATACTATCAACAGCTCAAAACCAACCTCTAAATAGCACGATATTGTGTCAATTTTTAGATAGTAATATTTTTCGTATACATAGATACTACGTTTTTTAAAAATACATTTATGATGTTCAGACAAAATTTACAATATACTTGAGACTTAGATTAAAATAACTAAGACTTAGACTGTGGTTTAATTGAGACTGGTGACGAACTCATTTTTGCTCTTTTGTAGTGGACACAGTATTGTTAATGGAGTACCAACCATGGTACCTTTGGTGTTGCAAGATGTTGATTTATTATATGAATATGGGAGATACCATATTCACGTCAAATAAAAAATGTCACTAAAATTTGCTATCTACTCCAACTCGTCTTCCTTGACTTGACAACCTCTTGCTCCTCTCGGTCTGCCTTAATAATAGTGATGTGGTCTTTTTGATACTAAACTAATTATTAACGAGAATCACTAAAACACCTATCATAGCATTCTGGACGATATTGACATACGATATGTATCAGATAATTGGACCATAGTCCAGTCATTATAGTAAGTTCGCCTCGGAATTCGAGATACCTAGGTGCAAGCTTGTAAATACTTGTATTTTGCACCCTAAAAGTTGTCTCAAAACCTACATATGTTGCGTACACCCTACCATATGTATCTCAAATTCCGAGATTCTTGTCTAATTTAAGCTTAAAGAATTGGACTACCAAAGATCTACTAGTTTATCAATCTTTATACTAAATCTTGCTCGTCTTTTTCTCCTCATTTTGAACGACGTTGGCTGAAGATACCTGTCTGTTAATTAGACCAACTATCTACCAAATTATCAAAAATTGCAAATCACACTAAATCCCACTAATTCCATCTCTCCTTCCTCTATCCTGACAACCTCTTACTCTTCTAGGTCTACCTTAATAATAACTAATTGTCACCAAGAATTACTATAACACCTATCATAGCATTCTGTACGACATTGGCATAAGATGTGTATCAGTTAATTAGACCAACTATCTACCAAATTACCAAAAATTGCAAATCATACTACATCACACTAAATCCTTCTGTTCTTTCTCCAATTAGACAACCTCTTGCTCGTTTCAGTGTATCAAAATAATAATGACTTGGTCTTGTCAATAATGTCAATGTCTTAAAAGTAACCTACAAATAGAACGTGGAGTAAATCATATCATCGAAAATTGCTATTGCATTTGTTATAATATTTTTGACATTGGCTGAAGATGTGTATCTGTTAATTACACCAACTATCTACCAAATTACCAAAAATTGCAAATCATACTAAATACCACTAACTCCATATCCTCTTCCTCTATCTTGACAAACCTCTTGCTCATCTCGGTCTACCTTAATAATATTGGTATAGTCTTCTTGATACTAAACTGTCACCGAAAATTGTTCATAACATTTTGAACGACATTGGCTGAAGATGCCTATCAGTTAATTAGACTAACTATCTACCAAATTACCAAAAATTGCAAATCATACAAAATCTCACTAATTCCATCTGCTCTTCTTCTATCTTGACGACCTCTTGCTCATCGCGGTCTACCTTAATAATAATAATGTGGTCTTGTCGGTACTGTCAATGGCTTAAGAGTAACCTACAAATAGAACATGGAGTAAAACATATCATCGAAAAATGCTGTTGCATTTGTCATAATATTTTCGACATTGGCTGAAGATGCCCATCAGTTAATTAGACCAACTATCTACCAAATTACCAAAAATTGCAAATCCTACCAAATCCCACTAATTCTTTCTCTTCTTCCTCTATCTTGACAACCTCTTGCTCTTCTCGGTCTACCTTAATAATAACTAATTGTCACCGAGAATTGATATTACACTTAAGATAAAATTTTGAACGACATTGAAGATGTGTATCAGTTAATTAGACCAAGAAATCTACTGGTTTTTCTCTATCTTGACAACCCTTTGCTTATCTTGGTCTACCTTAATAATAACTAATTGTCACCGAGAATTGCTATTACACTCATCCTAACATTTTGAACGACATTAGCTGAAGATGCCTATCTGTTAATTAGACCAACTATCTACCAAATTACCAAAAATTGCAAATCATACTAAATCCCACTAATTCCATCTCCTCTTCCTCTATCTTGACAACCTCTTGCTCATCTCGGTCTACCTTAATAATATTGGTGTGGTCTTTTTGATGCGTGTGGCATCTCTCGTATGTATCACTACTAACGTACGTCCGAGACACTTAAAGTGTGCCCCGCTTAATATACGGTTGCCGCTTCAAAGGAAGCCGACAAAAGGTACGAATTAAGGTTACACCTTCGTTATTGTGGATGGCAAATTACCCAAATACATCACTAATACTAATCGAATGGTTTAGAAGTTATAAGGGATACGGGAGATGAATGGATGAGTGAGTGGCACAGATTTTGATGTACACCGATGGACCATTATAATATCAGACAATTTTTTTAGGGATATTAAATAAATTTTGCAAGTACATCATTCATATTAATCGAATGCTTTTAAAGTTATTCAAGTCATGTGCAAGCGCTATGATGAGGCAAAGTGAGGCAATGCATTTAGAATATTTTACATTTTGATTGAGATTTTAGGGTATACAAAGTTGTTGCAGGGTAAAGATTGTTACTAGTAAAAATTGTAGAGCATTCATTTTTATATACATTTTTCGAAAACGTTATTCATATTTTTCGAATGGTTTATAAGTCACAATAAGAATAATGTATCGAGTCGTCACTAATGTATTCTTCATGTGTTGAAACTATTTTTTATTTTTTAGTATACCAAGTTACTGTAGGGCTTTATAATATTAAACAGTGTTGTAGATTATTTAATTTTGTAGAGTTTTTCTAAAAACACGAGTCATAATAATCGAATGATTCAAAAGTTACAAGAGTTATAATAAACTAGCAAGCCGGGCGAACTCCGTTTCACCACCAGATGATTTCATTTTATGTAACATTTTGTTTGGTGATTAAAAGATGAAGAAAAAAATTGCCTGCTGTTGAAATAGAATAAAAA